ATATTGGGAATGTGGAAAAGATACCTTTAAGAGTTAAATTTAAGAGAAATGTAGAAGCTGTAAAAATAGGGTAATCTACATTGTAATGAAATGCACCTTCTTCAACAGGTAGATGTCAGTGATAAAGCAATAGCACCTCAAACCACCCCAGAGATTCAGTGCCTTACTAGTCCTACATAAGTGTGTTTAAAGGAGTCACAGACCAAAAAGCAGATCTCAGGGAAAAAGAGAGAGAGCAAAGAGAAATTAAGGCTTACTAGAAAATAATTAGGAAAATAGATGCAATAAAGAGGGAAAGAAAAAAGAAAGGAGAAAAGGAAACAGGCAGAAAGATGAGTGGCAAAGATAGAGGAAGAACCAGGCTCACAAGAAACAAAGCAAATCATGGGGGACAACAAGCTGAGATAACTAACAGAAGAGAACTCTGGGATTGGAAGCATGATATAAGCTACCTTTTTCTTCCCTCACTCTAAACCCTAATCCTCAGGGAGCAATCAGTGAGTGAAAATGAACGACTCATTTACAAAAGATTGGGTTGGGAAAGAGCACAGATGATACCAAATTAAGCCAACCCTATTTTCTCTGACTCTTAAAAAAAAGTCCTTTAACTTAAAAAAGACTCCAAATAAAAGCATTATCTGCTAATCTGTAATGTCATCTGCATGTCTGGCCCAGGGTCCAAGCTATTCCTGGATATTCTTTGGCAAACAGGTGAGGTGAAAAGAGAAAAGGGGGGGGGGAAGTACACTACTTCAAATCATAGGTGTTGGAACTGGAAAGTATCTTAGAGAATAATCTGAGAGCCTCCTGCCCTCAATTTAGTGAGGCCCTATCGTACCCGTTTTACAAAGCAAGCAACCTGAAGCCCTGTTAAAATGGCTTACCTAAGGTCACATAGCAGAGTAGGAAAAACTAGAATCCAAACTTTTGATTACTAGGGCAATATTACTGATTACCCTTCCCAAAGCCCTAGAAAAGATTTTTTACCTCTGGAGGTTTATGGCTTTGGCTAAATAATGATATGTAAACACACAAATCCACCTCAACTTATAGTGGCAAAATATGAACTTAAGTCCGTACAGGTGGATAAAATACACTAGACAAGGAGGTCTGTGTTCAAATTTTACCACTGGCACATACTCTTTGACCCACAAGTCTGTACTATGTTTCTTCTGTGAAAAAGTACAAAATCATCTATGGATGACGTCTCACAGATCTAAGAAAGTCACCAAATATTGGACTTAGCCCAACTCTGGACATAAAGAAGAAACAAATTACACATATTATATATTAATAATATATTGTATTTATATATTTGAAATAAATAAAATAAAATTTACAAATATTTGTAATATATTAAATATACACATATATGTACATATGTATATACGTGTATACACACACACACACACACACACACACACACATATATATATATATATATAAAAATTTGTTTTCCCTTCTTTATGTTCAGGGTTACACCAAGACCAAGCCCAATACTTGGTGATTTTCTTACATCTAAGGGACATGATCCATAGATAATATTGTCTATAAATGTCTATACATAAAATATATAAATATACATATAAAGAGTAACATATACTCACATTTACATATGAACGTATGTGTGTGATAGAAAACATGCATCAAAATCTAAATAACTAATCACTTAAGGATATAAATAATAAAAAGGATCACCCATGCCTAAGTCCCTTTTCCTAAACTTTTTATCAAGATCATACCCCATTAAAGAGCTCCACTGAAGATGCCTGGCTGATAATGTCACAAGATGTTTATTTTAAAAGAATGGCTTTTCCACTCTAGGGGACTGCAGGGTGAGGAAGCAAAAAGAACCATTTCCCACCGGGGAAAAAAAAAGAGTCCTGATGAGTTTATTTTGCAGGCATGACGTAGTTGGGAGTTTATAAAGAACAAGTCTGAGCTTCTTTTAACCCATACCTGCTTCTACTCTGCCAGGCAGGGTCATAGGGCCTGCTTTAATATGCTGTAAGAACTTGGGGGAGGTACAAAATGGAAGAGGAGAAAAAGCAGTGTTTTGATGTTTTCGTGAGTTTTCTTCATTAAGACACACATCAGTTTTCCAATAATGAAACAGATGCTTCAAAGCACAGTGCCCTGAAATAGAGGAGAAGGGGTTGGCAGTCCCAGCAGACTTTGCCTTAGTTAGACTACATTCAGTTAGTGTTAGCACTAAACGAGGTAATATTTGTAAAATGGTTTGCAAATCTTAATGTGCAATACAAATGTTAGTTGCTTCTGTTACTACTACTACTACTACTACTACTACTACTACTACTACTACTACTACTACTACTACTACTACTACTACTACTACCATGTTCTGTTCCAGGAACCCATTTTAGGAAAGACACTGATAAGCTGAGGTATCCACAGGAGAACAACCAAAATGGTTACAGAATAGTAGACGTAGAGCTAGAAGAAAGCTTAGGGGCCATGAAGCCTAACTCCATCATTTGATAGATGAAGAACCGAGGCTCAGAAACATTAAGTGACTTGGCCAGGATTACTCGTCTAGGAAATGTCTGAGATCCTATCTGAACGTAGGTCTTCCTAGCTCCAAGTTTGGTCCTTTATCCACTACCCACTATGGCCTCGCAAGTAAAGGGCCTCAAGGGATGCCAGCTGAATAGCTGGGAGTGTTTTGGATGGAGAACAAAAGACTTGGGGGAAAACACGATGGCAGTTCTCAAGTAATTGAAGCATTGTCTCTTAGAAGTTTAGATTTCTTCTGATTGGATCCAAATGGTAGAAAAGGGAGCAATGGGCTGTAGGCTGCAAAGAAGCAACTTAGGTTTGATAGAAAAGAAAACTTCCTAAGATTCAGAGACATCCCAGAGTGGGACAGGATGCCTCAGGAGGTAGCAGGCTCTCCTTCACTGGAGGTTTTTAAGCAAAAGCTACATAACCACTTGCCAGGTATGAAGCGGAAGAAATTTTTTTTTATTATTATAATTATTTTTAGGCAATTGGGGTTAAGTGACTTGCCCAGGTCACACAGCTAGTAAATGTTAAGTGTTTGGTCTGAGGCTGGATTTGAACTCAAGTCCTCCTGACTTCAGGGCCAGTGCTCTATCCACTGTGCCACCTAGCTGCCCCCAGAAATTCTTGTTAAAATTTGTGTTGGGTTAAATGCCTTATGAGCTCCCTCCCAACTCTAAAACTATATGATCCTGAGAAAATCATTAAGACCATTCTGATTTAGGCCTGGGTCATTTTGTTCTAACCCAAAGTGGACAAATGCCCAATCCCAACCAATCACCAAAATGGATGAAATTTTTTTAAAATTTGTTTTAAAAGCTGCTTTGGAAAGAGAAAAACATCTGAGTAGCATTGCCTAAATTTTCTGCATATACATAGGGCATGAGCCTAAAAAGTTAGTTCAAATGAACCGAAATAATTTCTGAGATGGGATATTAATATGGAATAGTGGAAAGAATGCTGAAGTGAGAGCCACAAGATCTGGGTTCTGGTCCTTCCTCGGCCACTAATTCGTCATGTAAATCTCTATTAAATTGTTTACCTCTCTGGGTTTTAGTTTCCTCATCTATAAAACGAGTGGTTTAGACTCAATGAGATCCTTCCAGCTCTGAATCTAACATTCTAGACAATATGATGGAGTGTGTAATAGGATGCAGGAGAGGAGTGTATGGTGACGTTGACTGAGTCAGAAAACCACAAAATCTCAGAATTGGATGGAATATCAAGAGTTATTGGGGCAGCTCAGCGTCACAGCGGATAGAGCACAGGCCCTGAAGTCAGGAGGACCTGAGTTCAAATCCAGCCTCAGACCAAACACTTGATACTTACTAGCTATGTGACCCTGGGCAAGTCACTTAACCCCAATTGCCTTAAAAAAAGAGTTATCTAATCCAACTCATACCTGAACGGGAATCCCATCTATAATATCCTCCCAAAATGGTCATTCAGTTTTGCCCAAAGATCTCCAGCAAATTTGCTATACCTTTTAAGACCACCCATTCTGTTTTGGGGCAGTCTAATTGATAGAAAATTTTCCTTTACCGAAATTAAATACACCTCTACGTAACTTCCACCTAGTGATCCCAGGTCTGCCCTGCAGGGCCAAGCAAAACAACTCAGCTCCATCTTTCATGTGAAAGTCTTTCAAATGCTTGAAGGTCATCCCTAATTCTTCTCTTTTCCAAGGCTAAAGACTAAGGCTCAGGAGTAAGAAAGAGTAGGAAAGCGTCCCAAGACAACTCTTCAGTGAATGTATAACATTTATGTTCTTAGGCTACTCATGACCACTGCCAAAAAAGCAGGATATTGGGTTAAAATAACTCATATGCAACTTGGAAAACATTGTGGGAATAAAGCCATTTTCAGCTTGTATAGAAGCAGTCAAAAATGACCTATAGTAAAAAAAAAAAGGGGGGGGGCGCTGAAAAGGATGCCAGACATTCATCTGCATATTCAATTTAATTAATTTAATATATTTCATCAAATGCCTACTATGTGCAAGTCACTAAGCCCCACCCCACCTCAAGCAGGCAAACTCCAAATGAATTTTATAAATTAAAATCAAGATTTATACCTGGATTATTATTTTCTTTAGAATGTTATCCCTAAAAGAGAGCTTGATAATAACCTGAATCTGACGAAGTCCAGGAACTAGACAGTGTTCTAAATATACTCTGACTGCTTAAGTGCCATTCACACCACCATAGAAAGTGTGTAGTGAACTTCCTACAACATAACCATACTAGCAAGTTCACAAAGCTAACAAAGGAAAGATGGAATCCAAACCCATGTCTTGATGGTGCCAACTGGTAAGAAATTGGAAGGAGTTTCAGTAAAAAGTGTTGCATCATGACAAACACATTTGCCTCTGTAGTAGAGCTATTCTATAGGGTCTGATATAGCTCCATTAACATTGCACATATAGACATTTCCCCAAACCAGACAAAGTTATGAGATATTAATGTCCAGACAATACCCACCTCACTCCAGACCAGCATGGTACCGAATATGACCTGTAACCCATCAAAGAAATTGTCTCCTATGATGATCACTGTGGCACCTCCGGTAGTCCATCCTTCACTTGGACTGATGGCTTTGATACAGGGGGTAGCTGCTTTTCAACACACATGAAAAAGAGAAGAATTCTGCTGTTAGGACCAAACTTTAATAATTAGAAACTTGGGTTTTTTAAGACTTTTATCTTTTTTCATTAACATGATGTCCCTCAAGATCTCAAACACATTCTAGATATAGCATGATGTGGGACACGGTACCACTTTAGAGAACATCACTCTCAATGTTCGCATCAAAAATGTAATTCATTTTTCAGCCCGCAGGAAGGCTGGAAACATGACTGAAAGCAATCAATTGTTAATATATGAAATGCTGATTAAATCACCCTTTTAAAAAAACCTCTCAATTCTTTCATTTTCAGGTGCAAATTTCATTTCATGAGAAAATATATTGATGAAAAGAAAGCTAATAAGCATCGAGCCAAATATTAGTGGAAGCAGATGAGGGAATCAGGGGCTAGGATTCCTTCTCCCATCATGGTCTAAATATTTTTTTCCTTTACCTCATGTCCCCTCTATTGACATAACAGCACTAGAGATTTGATATGCTTAAATGAAATAACACTTTCAATCAGAAGTCATCAGTCCCATTTTACAGATGATAACTCTACTGAACAAGGTGGCTAAAATTATATAACTATATAAAATTATATAACTATATAACTGTAAACTCAGTTAATAGTAGATCCATAAAGAATATACATAGCCCCCAAACCCTCATTCATTTCTTTTGATTTCAACCCTAGGTCCAAAGCCATAGTATCAGGTTTGTTAAATATTCGGTGGTTTTTTTCCATTGTAAAAGGCATGTAGAGATAAGAAACACTTTGTAAATGTTGTAAATAGATTGAAGGAGGTTTATCCGAATAAACATGGCACAAGTTGAATCCAATTACTGTGGGATCACTGCTTCGGTAAGAGTGGAATGATAAAGTTGTGTCTTTGGGGTTCTAAAGCAGACAGCTTCATTTCTCAGGTTTTTAATATTGCTAGCTTACCTGTCATTCCCACAAGTGTTTTTAATTAATATCAGCACCTCAAAGTATCAAAAACTGGGAGATGCTGAGTAGGAGAGAAAACGGGTCTCCTCTTTCACAAAAATCTCTAAATGTCTCAGACAATTCTCGTACTACTTAAGCTGATGGAAGACCCAGCTAATTTTGCAGAAAAGGAAAACAGGCAAATATCATTACACGTTGTCAAATCTCACAGTTTGCTACTTTGACTTTTGAAAAAAACAAAAGAAACTATTAGACTCTAATTTGAGAGGGAGGGGACAGTCACTCACCTCCACAAAGTCATTGAATGTATTTGATTTGAACTTGAGTTAATCTGGTAAAACTGCACCAAAATATTTTGAAAAATCTAAACCAAGTGTTTAATTTTGGCTGAACTTGTAATGAGGCATTTACAACCGAAACAGCCCCTTTTAATGTTCCTTCCCTCTCCCACTCCCTCCCTCTCTTCTAACCAAGAATGAGATATTTAATGAAAGGAAATATATACTACATTCGTATTCTCAAAATTAATTTCAATTTTTGATACGATGAAGCTTGGAATTATGAAAATTCTAAACAGCTAAAAGTTTTTTGTAAGCCCATTTCTTGTTTTATGAGATTGAGAGTTGGAAGGGACCTTAAAAATCACCTACTTCAATTTTACAAAGTAGAAAACTGAATTCCAGAGAGTTCATGACTTCCCCAATGTTGCACAGCTGATAAATATGAAAGCCAGGATTTAAACCCAGATTTTCTAATTCCAAATATAGAAACTGTTGAATAACCCCAAATCAATCGCAGAATATGAATTATGGTTACAAGTACTTCACCAATGAACTGGAAGAAGTTTAAGAGTTTTAGATAGATAGATATAGATAGATATATACACACACATACAGATGGACATACATATATGTATGTATGTATATAATATGAAAAAAACTTGAAATCACTTCAGTTTACCCTCTCCTCCCAACATCTTAATTTTTTAGCTCTCCAAATAAAGCAAATACTTGAAGATCTTCTGATTAGGACTGGTTTTAATGCAATACTGCTTGAAGATAATATTTAACTAATGGCCCCTCCTAACTCTATGGTTCTGTGATAATCCACACACAAGACTTTGTGTTGGGTTTGGTTTTTTTTTTTTTTAAATCCAATTTTTTTTGGAGGGGGGAGGCGATTGTCCGTTAGCATATTTCTTTTTAAAATATGTTGTCTTTCAGGTTTTCTGATAGTCTCTATGCAAAAGCCACAATGACATGTTCATGTCCACTTCAGAGAGTCTCCAACATAGCTAAAGCCTGCAGGCTTTAGAAGTGATGGGGACTCCTTCCTCCTTCATCCCTTTGAAAGTCCTATGGAGGAGGTAGATGTGTGCATGTTTCAAAAAGTATTTTTTCCAAGACTTCACTGTAGTTTTCACTTTGAAAATACTCATGTTATCAAACTCTGCAAGCAACCCGCCAATAATAAAGTAGCCCGCAAGCCAGCAAACAAGGAGAGAACAGATTCAAGTTTCCAGAGGAGCTACAAACACTGGTGGGGGAACAAATGAGTCAAAGCTTGTATAATGCCATCCTCTTAATCTCCTTGTAAGGAAGGCTTGTGAAAAAGCAGCAGTGCGCTGCTCAGCATGCCCTAACTCCACACTTGGCAACATACTAGAACCCAGCTAATAAACTTCGCTTCATCTTACAAGAAATACATAGAATCCCTGCAACTCTCAGAATCATAAAATTTTAGAGCTACAAGGGGACTTAGGGGTCATTTAGTCTATCGCTCTCATACAATAGATGAGGAAACTGAGTCACCCAAAGTCACCCACCTAGTTAGTGACATCCTGACACCTAGTCCTTTTCACACTAGACCAATTCATCTCTCGATTTGATGTCATGCACCTAATAACATTCATTAGCTACTTCATCCATAAAAAGAAGCATTAAGCGATGGACCAAGTCTCAAATCATCAGATTAGGCCTGACTTTCAGAAAGCGGGGAGAGGAGATGAACAAATCCACAAATCTCCTTCGTATCATTTTTTCTCTCTTAGGATGCTGTGTTTTTGAAAGCTAAATTCTATTTGGCCAGACAGTGTCTTTCTTTCCTTAGTCTACCAAAACAGAGTATCAAATGTGGAAGTTAGAGATTAAGAGTGGGAAGGGAACCTAGAGGTCATTCCTCATTATACGGATGAGGAAACTGAGGCACAGCGAAGTGAAATGATTTGTCCCAGGTCAAAAAGACAGTGAAGTGGTAGGACAGGATTCAAGCCCAGACTCACAGTCTCATACTTTTTCCACTGCACTTCACCACAAAGAAAAAAAAAAGGGAAAGAGAAGTCAACCTGAAGATAACAATGTGTGTGGAGCTAATGTGTTATTAGTGGATCCTGGAATTTGAGGGCTCAATGGTATTTGAAAAACAGTTGCTCAATCTAGGAATTGGACACCCAATAGGACTCTTTTACCTATAAGACACAACAGGATCAAGAGAGTCAATTTAAATACAAAATTCTGTGTTGATGGCAAGTCCCGACTTCATAAAGAAAAGCTTTCGTTGCTGTTTTGCTGTTGTTTTCTCTCCCAATTTTTATCCCCGTCGTATTTTCGTACTTTTGGTGTCCACAGCACATTGCAAGCCCAGCATGGCTGGTTCTAGATCTCATTAAAAACAAAAGTTTTTTTGTTGTCTTTTGTTTTATTTCCCCCAGCCACCAAAGTAGAGGAGATTTTCCTCCCTTCAGACGATGACAATAAAATGATTACCCCACCACGGTTTAGCATAATGGTTCTGAAATGCTCATGGCATATTGCAGAGTTAAAGTGGAAATTATTAGGTAGCTCTTCTTTGTTATAATAATGATCACTCCACAAATAAAAGCTCTTCTCCCAAAGGTACTGCAAGGCACAAAATGCTAATTCTGAAGATTATGTGCGAGCTTTTATTAAATATTACTATGCCCTGCCTGTTTGAGGGCTTCTCTGCTCTGATTGCTTTATGAGTGCCATGTTAATGTCATTCCCATCTCGCTAGCAGCAGGCACGCATTTTAGCGTTTGTATGAGAGTTGATCAAAGGCCACGTGCTGGGGGAATTGCTGAGAAAACACGGACAAGCGATAAAAATCTAACAGATTAATTGGTTTAAATTTCATTTCAGGGTGTTGAACTTTGGCTTGGGACTCTAATACTACACTATGAGTCAGAGCCTAATTACCAGATTTCCAATTTGCTTCTGAACAATGGTTGGGGTAGGGGAGTGGGGGGAAAGAGAGAAAGAAAGAGAGAGAGAGAGAGAGAGAGAGAGAGAGAGAGAGAGAGAGACAGAGACAGAGAGAGAGAGAGACAGAGACAGAGAGATAGAGAGAGACAGAGAAAGCAAAAGAGCGAAAGAGAAGCAGAGAGAGACAGAGCAAGAGGAAGAATTTTTTTTTTTTAAATTTACCACCTCTAGTATATATTTAACAACTAAGGTCCTGTGTGAAGAAAATTGCGCAGGGAATCTTCTCCATCACCTGTTCAACCTTAAGAGTATCTCTATCTCCTTCAAATAGCACCAGAAGATGGAAGAAATAACAGATACCCACAGCAATTTGAAATTTTCTGATTTATAGAATCAATGGTATATGATTCAAGTGCCCACAAACACACATTGGAGGCATCAGGCTCTTTATTAGCAAACTGAATTTATAAGCTGTAACAGCATCTCACCCTCCAATAGAAATGATCTATTTCATTGATATAAAACCAGGGCCAGGAAAGCCATGTTTACTTCAGAGTTTATGGGTGGCCTTGGGAATAAGGGTTAATTGAGCTCAGAGGTACATGCCCACTGAGGTGAATTAGTGATGTGTGCAGCTATCAGCAGGGTTCTGGGCCTGCTCTTATTTTTACTTCTGAAATCTCTTTGTGCTGTGATTAATATCCGGCTTGTTTCAGTGGCTGTAAGAATGACCTGGTCAGCGGTCCAGTATTTATCATCAACTCTAGGTCCATCTTCTCCTATTCCAAAGAGGAGGTTTTGTAACTATCGGTGCTTTAT